GCGAGTTCCACGCGAGTGTTTCAGGCCGTGAGCTTGGCTTGAGCACACATGACAGCCCGATTTGGAACCCACAACGCGAAGGCTGCAAAAGGAGGAGGTCCGCTCGATCGCAAGGGTCTTAGAATGATCAATGATCGCGCAGTCCTGTGATCGGTCATGTTCAAAAGCAAGCCACCATCGGACTTTCAGAGTCTCAACATGAACCAAAGAGATCCAGTCGCTACATGTCCAACACTTCGTGCTTCTACAAGGCTGGAACACAACGACAAGTCCGCCCTCTGCTTCAACGAGTTTATCAAGCGACTCGTCGCCTAGTCACTTCCACTCCGCAATCTGAGCTGCATCATTTATACAAGGGTACACATGTGGGAATGGGTCAAAATTAAACCACCAGACCGCAGGTTTTAGTCTTTGTTTCCATGCACCAGGGTTCTATTTTGGGCCTATTTTGACCCACACCCATGTTCCGTCGAAGTTGAGCTGTGTGGCCCTGCCTAGAGCTTTCGCAAGCAGCCACCGCTGCTCCAGTGCCCACAGCGCCGAGTGCCTCCAGAGTCCGGCAATCACAAGCTGTTGATATCTCTATTGCGCTCAGGGAATCAAGCCCACGTGTCATAAGTGCATACATCTGCGCACAAGTCGGAATTTACATATGCTTGCACAAGCCTCGACAGTGCTAGTTTATTGGACTTCTCATTTCAGCAAGCAAGCCTTCATGTCAAACTGGTCTTTACCCCCGCAAAACGCTGCCCGTGGCCTATCTGAATGGCAAAGCATCTCCTGCCTGGCCGGCTGCCCTAGAAGCTGCAAGAACTCCCAGGGCTGTTTGCCAGGCCTTGGCGTGTCGCAAAGCGCACGGCTGTCAGGTGAGACACGGTCAAAAATGTCTTTCCGTAAGAGGAGGGAAATTGGTGACCCCCTTTTGGTTGGAAACCTAGTGAGTTGATTGCACACAAAACCAAAGCTCTTCGTGACCTTTGGCCGAAAAACCAGGCCGCCGGAGGCCAAACTGCTCCACGTGAGCGCGTTGGGCTGCAGCGAGCGCCGCTGCATCTCCTCGCTGGTCGTTGACGCCATGAACTCAGGGGGCCCAATGTGGCTACACAGCTGGCTTGTGCATTGACCCAGTGCTGTGCTGCATTATGGGTGTGCCATGGCTCGCGGGTGCTTCCTTCTTTGTGCAAGATCACGGGGGTCCAACTGTGGATTGGCAGGGCTGACATCAATAAAGAAGTGATCAAAGCGGAACACAAGTGCCTTGACTCGGGTTGCGCTGCAGCCTGACCGGAAACTCATTGCGGATGCGGCCTGTCCAGAGAAAGCTTGGGCTTCTGGCCAGGCCTTGACTTGCGTAGCTACACGGCCGTACATGTTCTGCCGCGCTGGCGCACGTGGCTCTTGCTCACGGGTGACTTCGTCGTGGACGTTTCCGCTTGTGTACTGGTGTTCAAGGAGCATAGGCGGCAGCTGAATTGAACATAAGCATTCTGATGACAGCTTGGCTGAGAGTGCGAACATTTAATGACTCGGACCTGCCCGCTCTGCAAAGCCTTTGCTGGCGCGCCGAGACTCTTTGTAATGTCTTGCACCGACATGGCCCACGTGGATATCTTGTAGGATGTTGAGGGTGACAAGAGTGGCGCCGGCCGCGTTGCTCTTAGAGTCTTTGCAGCTGCCGGTCCGCCAGCCCCGGCTGGAGCGCGTGTCCCCAATCAGAGGGCTCAAAGACGCCCGGCGCTATCTGCTCGGCAGACGGTGGCGCCCTATCTGAAGTGGGGCCCGCCATCCGCAGGCACCGACCCTGCACATCAGCGCTAGGGCAAAGGAGCATGAGTGCGGGCGTGCCAAAGATCGAGGCCCGTTTGCAAATCTTGCAGCTGCGTCCAGGCCTGGGCGGATGCTGCTTGTGTGTGTGTGTGTGTCTTCGGCTTCCTCACTGGACCTGCTGTTGTAAGTGAGGCGTCTATTGTAGAAAGTGCTTTTCTAATTCAGGATCCCGCAACTGTTTTAGGGGTCTTCAAGTAGACAGTCTGTTTCGCAGGGACAATTCGGACAAAACAGCAACACATACCATTTGCCTTTTACTTTTCAAGGGTGGCTTATCTAAGTCCTTTCCAGCTCAAAGGCTAAAGTTCTTAGATCTAGGAAATTCAACTTCGCTGGTGGTTCCCAAACCGTTAAATTTCCAATAATTTCGACATTAAAAAACACAAGCCCAAACAGTCGCACAAAGGGGGGGTGCCCACAGGAGCTCCTGATCCTGTTGAATATGACTGTTTCAGGTTTTCTTTGATGTCAATCTTTTTGGGGGGGTGGCCCGGTGGGAGAAGGCCCCAGATCACTGCCTTAGCCTTTTACTTTAAAGGGTGGTTCACCGCTCTTCCCAGTACGAGGGATACTAACTAAGTATTGGAGAGTCCAAGTCCACCCCCTCCCCCTTCCCCTAAAGCGGGTCCCCGCAATTGTCAGTTGGCACTGTTCCAGGAGGGGGCGACACATTCGAGAAGGTGATACCTCTGCTGCTTCTGTAGTTGGAGGCCTCGCTGCAGGTTATCAGCCGTGTTCGAGCTGCCCTATTTGATTGCAAACCAATTGCTCTGGCCCGGCAGTCTGGACCATGGCCGCGGTCCAGAAATGCTGCGAGCGTCAAAGTGATGAGGCTTCGCCCGCGCCGATGGCAGCATGCTGGGGATTCTTGGCCTGTGCTGCTTGCGCGGTGGCCGTGCAACCATGGCACCTGCTCGCTATACAGGATCGGCGCTGAGGCGTACCACTGCGTTGGCTGCCCTGACGGCCCCAACGACAAACTTCAGCGGATGCGCTTGTCGAGCCGGGACTGGAAGGGCCAACCGGGCGCAAGATTGCTCAGTAGGCGGGTTCAGCACTGTTCAGAGCTTCCACTGTTTGCATTGTTGGCTACCGTCGGTCATTGCCGCCCCCTTATCTTCAACCGCTGGCTGGACTTAGAGGTTCGGCAGTCAGGGAATCGATTGGCCTGGGACCTGGACTTCGAATGCTGGTGGGACCGTGATGAGTTTCTACTTCGCAGGGCCGGATGACTTTGTAGCCGCTTATCATCTGTTTCGACATGGTGAGAACAGTGGCTTGCATTCCGGCAGGAGGCATTTGTTTTGACGCACAGAGGTCTCTGTAACACGGGTTCTCGAACAGGCTCCAATTCAAACCAGCAGCTTAGTATTTGTCGATGTTTGCCTGCTGTCTGTGGCTGAGGACAACCCGCATCCCTGGCCAGTCGACCCGCCTGGCGACTTGTTGCCTGCTATGCCCCGGTTGTTGCTTCATTTGAAAACGGTCCCCTTTTCCTTTTTACAGGTCCCGCACAGGCAAGGCCACTTGGCCTCGCTCTCTCTCTCTCTCTCTCTCTCTCTTTGTCTCTCTTTCTCTCTCTCTCTAGCTCTCTGCACTGAGTTGCCTTTGACATGCCTCTCTCTTAAACAAAAACAACAACAACAATGTTGGCTATTTACTGCCAGCACAATGGTCTGTGTAGCGTGTCGGAAGCAATTTGTTGAACATCCTGAGTTTTCGGCGCAGGGTGAGGAAAGCCTGTGTGTTCAATGGCCCCTGGCATCACTATGGCATCATCTTCTCACCTTCCCCCATCTGCCAGTCCCTTTTTTAGCTCTCCTGGAAAAGGCCGAAGGCCAACTGCCATTGCAAGCCAGCAGCGCACGCGCTGATGCCTCCGTGCGGCGAGCCAAATTACAACCCAAAGGCAAATGTCTATATATGTATACATATATATATATATAGAATATGGACACACACACACACACCCCTCTCAGCAGTTTTCAGGAGCCATCACCCCGAATCGGCTCCGCTTTGCTCTGTGACAACGAAAGGCGGCACCTACTCATGGAACCTTTGAGCTTGAGAAAAATATTGGCAAAGCCCCACAACATGTTTCGACCACTTTTTGCTCCCCGAACGGCCCTGACAGGGTCATTTTGAGACATCCCCACATGGCTCAACTTGCTGGGCCCTCCTTGACCAGTCCAAGCCACAGGCGGTGCAAGCAACTTCATCAGGCTGGCAGCGTTCGAAGACAACCAGCGCCTGCTGCCACTCTTGCGCTCCTCAACAGAATCCAGAAAGCTAGCTGAGCTCTTCCCCATGCCATGATTTGTCAGGCAAACCAGCTTGCAAGCCTACCTGAATAGAAAGCAGGAAAGACCAATGGTAAGACCAAGGCCGCAGTGCAAACAGCTCGACGGCATGAGCCGGTAGACAATTCAGGAATCATACCCTATCCGATATCATCAAGAAAACAAACAATCGGTACTCATGGAGAGCGCAGTATTCTGATCTGCCCAGCATTTCTGAAGAGTACCGCCGCTTGTGGCATTAAATCAGCTGCCTGACATCTTCTCTGACAGAGATGGAGCACACAACACAAGTCCTGCACAGGCGCTGATGCAGGCACTGAAGGCGATCACATCCTCAAGATCAATGCAGGCCAGACCAGCGCGTTGCTTTGGAAAATCAATACGTGCAGCTTGTCGTTTCGGGAAACCACTCAATTCACACAACGCCTGCTGGGTGTCAAGCTTTAGCCCCGCAATGACAAAAGCTTCAGGTGCCTGTGCTGTCCCAAAGGCGGATCGTTGCTTAGAGCCCTGGAGGCTTTCTCGAGATGCGTGAGAAGAACATTGGGTTTGTGTTCGCTGCATCATCGGTATCTGGCAACATCCTTCTAGCACCCAGTACATCCTCAATCCAGTCCCGCCACAAACTTTCTGGGAGCGAAGTAGGTGAGCAGGTGACATGGCACCGCTGGCCAGCTCTGAAGTAAGCCTAAATCTGTCAGTTGAGGATGCAAACAAACCACTATCATAAACCCTTGGCCATCCCGTTTGAACGCCGCGCAGAGAAATCCAAACCTCCAAAGATGACTCGACTTGCGCCAAAAGGTTTCGGAAACCGGGCGATGCAAAATTCTCATCACCGCAACCTCTCCCAACCTCTCCCCCTCCGCGTCGCTCCGCGTCCCCACGCCCGGGGAGGGCACCGCGTCTCTGCGCTCCGCCGCTGCCAGCAGCGCCAGCGCCTGCTGCCACCGCCGCCCTTCCGCGCAGGCGCTCAACGCGGCGTTGCACACCGCGCCTCGGCCGAACGAGCAAACGGCGGGAGCAAACCTTGTGCTTTTTCTTTCGGGGGGGGGGGGGACGAGTTGACATTGAAAAGGACACCACCTGCTTGGAGGACCTATTCCAAATTCTGAGACAAGGCCATATCTTTGTACTAGGTTCACTATTTTGACACAAGGCCATATCTTTGTACCACGGGAATTTGTACGACTCACACATTTGAATTGGCCCGATCTCATGGAACTTGCAATCTGCTTGGCGATATGTGTATGAGCTTTGATTGGGACCCTATATTTGGAGGACATCATTCACACAAGGATTGGTGCCATCAACATTTGTTCACGGTGTCCTCAATTACTTCATGGCCAAAGTTGCTAGGGGAAGCGAATTTCAGGCTGTGAGATGAAGTTGTGTTTTTGTTGCCATCCCATTCATGCCAACCTGTGCAAACACCTTCCAAGGAAAAAAAAAAAACATGTCCACCTGTCCATCTGGTTGAACCTCAACCTGCGGGAAATAGGCGTCTGACACATGCGGGACCGCTTTTCAACAGACGTTCAAGCAGTAAAACCAGGTGCTGGCTGTGCTGACGACCAAAGAACAAATGCGCCAGCCGCAGCTTGGCCTGCGAGGCCGTGCCTTCTATCACTGGAACATGTTCGTTCAACTATGAGGGTGATATTTGGGTGTGGCTCAAACATCGGGGTCCTACCTGGAACCGTGGTAAATGCAAAGATAGACTAAAACCTGCGTAACCCCAGCTGTTTAATTTTGCCCCCCAAACACACGTGTTCTCTCAGTGCGATGCCAATTCCCAACATGCCCGGCCAAGTTGTCAACCCCTTGGACTCAAACGGTAGCCTGACCAAAGCACGTCCGCTGTGATTCGCTTGTCCGCGCACGCACACGCCCAGTACTTCAGTAGTAAGCTGAACAGATCGCCTGGCTCCAGCAGCCAAGATCACATCCTACTTGCATGGATTTGCATCAAACACTTGCCCAATCACCGAACCGTGTGTGGGCAAGCAACAGCATGCCCAAAGTCCATCGGATTCTGGAGCCAACCATGTCAAATGCCATGAATTGTTTGCTTCAACCCAAGTCCACGCAAACATGTGACGTGCCCTGGGCTGTTGACACGGCTCTGCCAGAGCGCCAGAGCTGATGCCAAGGTCCAGCCCTCGCCGCAGGAACCTGGGAAACCGACGCACCGCATCCTTCAAGCCCTTCATCTGGAAGCAAAACCATCCAAGAAATTGCGCATGGGGCTCCAAGCAACAACCTTCAGTTGGTACAAGTCTTTTTGGATTTGTCTGTTTTCGGCAAGCTGGGGACTCCTTGCAAGGACATAAACACACAGTAGCAAGGGCTTTCCTCTTTGCCACACGCAAGCTGAATGCTTTGTGGAACTGACCAGTTCGGTTCAAGCCTGTTCTTTCCTACAGGGAACTGACACCCGAAGAAGTTCAAGCTTCTCGCAAAGCAGTGCCCCTTGCCGGTTGCCCCGGAAAGGAGACAAAGAGCCGTAGCATCCTTGAAATTTGCGCCCGTTAAGCCGTGCTGTTTCAATCAAGCTTCATTCATCTGTGAGGAAACGGTGCTCTGGGAGCCCAGCTCCATGGACCGCAACCAGCTCCTTCGGCAGCGAAAAAGGGAGGGGGGTGTGGCAGTCAGACGTCTCACGTCTGTCAGAACGACTAGGGAATCAAAGGGGCCGAGATTTAATTCAGCCTGGTTTCTTTCCAAAAGCGCAAAAAGACCCACCAAAAGCCATAAAAGCGAAAAGAACACAACCCATCCAAAAACAGAAACAAACCTGAACATCCTGAGCAAAAAACATCCTGAACAAAATGGCCCTGCGAATCAATATGTAGACTTTTGGGGAATGGCTGGAGCAAAACAGGAAAGCCACAATTCCAAAGGTTGCCTTCGGACAGTTTTTCTCTACAAACCGTGGGCCCTCTATTTTTGAACAGTGAAGTGGACTGTTGCAGCTTCGAATAGTCCGGACGGGAGTTGACTGGACGGACACCCAGGATGGTTTCTGAAACGCGGTCCCATCTTGAAATTGGGCAAGCTAATCCAAAGGGACTGTCTGGAGAACAATGCAAGGCTGCACCATTTGGCATGTGTCAGCAACGACGTGTCGAAGAGCTCTTGACCCAGCTCAGTGACACATTGCTCAAATCCTAAGAACACATTAAACGTATCCCGTTGGACAATCCTCTCGGGTGATGTTAATCAACAAACCAAAGCACAGTCACAACCTGTGAGAATTCTCCCCCAATTTCACATCTAGGTCAAAGCGGAAACGCTCTAATGTCACAAGCGAAACTTCGCTACCAGCCTCGCTGCTGCACCGGCTGTGGTGAAGGAGACCGCTGTCCAGTGCCTGAGATGCTCTCGACCCAAAGCACCGCAGCCGCTTTTGAAAGACCCCATGCATGCAATATGATGATGGCTTCCATGGGATCGGGTTGATGGTTGACTGGCCTTTGGCATGCTCAATCTTGCCTCGTCGCAGCACACATGTTTGAGCAATTGACCTTGCAACAACCTTGTGGCACTTTTTCCTGGTGCTGGCACGCCAATGCTTGTGGTGCCGCAGTCAGCGAAATGGCTGCAGGCGAAATGCCTCTGACCGGCTCCAACCTGTCGAATCTTAAGACCCTGACATGCCTCTATGTCCGCCAACATTGCTCGGCGTGTCGGACACCTAGAGGAGAGGATAGAGGACCGCGCGGCAATTTGATGACGTTCCACTAAACGTAGTCTTCGGGGACCCGGTGTCGCAAAACAGGGGTCCCAGGCTCGATTCCCCCTGCCGGCTTTTTTGCTGGCTTGGGCTTCCTGCATCCTTTTGCCGAAAATCTGGAAAAACTCTGTGTTTTTGGACATCATCTTTGCGAAAACGCTGGAAAAAGTGTTTTTTTGCGGGAAATACTGGGGAGCAAAGGGGAAGTGCAAGGATACATACATACATACATACATACATACATACATACATACATACATACATACATACATACATACATACATACATACATACATACATACATACATACATACATTACATACATACATACATACATACATACATACATACATACATACATACATACATACATACATACATACATACATACATACATACATACATACATACATACATACATACATACATACATACATACATACATACATACATACATACATACATACATACATACACATACATTACATACATACATACATACATACATACATACATACATACATACATACATACATACATACATACATACATACATACATACATACATACATACATACATACATACATACATACATACATACATTACATACATACATACATACATACATACATACATACATACATACATACATACATACATACATACATACATACATACATACATACATACATACATACATACATACATACATACATACATACATACATACATACATTACATACATACATACATACATACATACATACATACATACATACATACATACATACATACATACATACATACATACATACATACATACATACATACATACATTACATACATACATACATACATACATTACATACATACATACATACATACATACATACATAACATAGCATACATACATACATACATACATACATACATACATACATACATACATACATACATACATCACATACATTTCATACATTACATACATTACATTACATACATACATTACATTACATTACATTACATTACATTACATTACATTACATTACATTACATTACATTACATTACATTACATTACATTACATTACATTACATACATACATACATTACATACATACATATACATGCATACATACATACATACATACGAGAGAGGGAGATTGGGGAGAGAGTGGCTTGGGGGGATGGGGAGGATGGGGAGCGGAGGGAGGGAGAGAGGACGACGACAGAACACAGCAGGGAGACAAGGGAGAGAGGAAGAAGGAGAAAAGGGAGAGGACAATGTCGGCGGACTGAGCCGGAGGCTCTAAAGTATTTCCAAACAATGTGAATTAAACAATTTTATGTATACGTGTACATTTTTTGTATGCCTGTGCATGTGTGTGCGGAGTGTATGTGGACAATGTGTGTGTGTGTGCGCGTGTGCGCGTGTGCATGCATGCATGCATGCATGCATAGAAAAAGGTGTGTGTATATATATATAATGTTCTCGCATGTGTGCATCTGTGCATACAGGCCTGTATGTGCGCACGTGTGATTATATGTGCGCGTGTGGGCGCGCGTGGGCGTATATCTGCGTATATCTGTATGTGCAGGTATCAGGATTAGTAGCAGGGGGTTAGCAGGGGGCATATGAATGCAACATGGCAAACCAAACTAGGCTGGTGAGAACGTGATCAAACTCTCAATCACCACACAAAAGCCAACAAACTTTGAGTTGCACACGCAAGAGTCACAAGAGTGTCGAACCCATACACGCACGCTTGAGTTTTCCTGTGTTGAAATCAGGAACTCAAGACACTCGCAGTTGCCAAACAGCCCTACCCTCGCAGGGAATGTGATAAATACAAGATGCAACGCGTCCCCCCACCCCCACAGCACGCTGCATGGAGCACCAACTTGGGCGTAAACATTCTCACCTCCTCTCAGGGATTGCACACACACTTTGGAATGTGGAAGGTCACAAAGGTCGCAAAAGCTTCAGAATTTGCATTTCGGAAATCAACACAGAGGATCACGAACATCCGAGAGCCAGGGGAGTTAGAAATCAACAATCAACACATCATAAAAGGGCTGCAACCGGTACGTGATTCAGGCGTCCCTGAATCGTATCCTTGCCACATGTCACCCAGCTTCGTTGGCAGAGGGAGTGATATGGGCACCCCTACCCCCTGTCATCGAGATTCGTGATTGAGCTTCGTGAACTTCTCATGTGATCGAGATTCAAACTTACGCATCATGATCTTGGCGGCGAAGCCTTCCATCCGTGAGCTAGGATGATCCACACACACACAGGCGCCGCTTTTTGTGGCGCGAAGGTATTCAAAAGTTATTGGCTGAGATCTTTGATCTCAAACCACTTGGATTTCACGATTTCGGCCGGTTTGTTCAAGATCCGACTGATCGCTATGTAGCACGTTCATTCGTCTTGAGTTTTTTAGTCGAGGTAGGCGATCCGGTGACCACTCATCAGTGGGTGTAGCCGATTTTCCTCCTCAGCGTGGTCAGAGGTTAATGCTTCGTCTGGCGTTGTGTGATCAGGAGGTTGTTGATCCGGTGCAGCAGGATGAGGTAATCGTTGGCATTGTGCGGCGGATGTTGTGAACTTTGGTGTCGTGGTGTTGCAAGGGGTTGCAGAAGACGTCGGAGTTGCGCCGCGTGCTGCGCAGCTCCCAGACAAGCTACGTGGCCGCCGAAAAAGCTGTGGAGGCCATGACCAAGCTGAGTGCGCCATGTGGCGCAGGTGCAGATCTGTGGTACGCCTTGCGCCCACTGATTTTGGGCAGTGCGAAAGTTGTACAAGACGTCAGCAATGGCAGTTTTTGTGGTGGACGACCTTGAAGGAGGACACCGAGCGCAAAGGTATGGCGGTGTGGAACTGCCGGTAGATCTGCTTCTGGTCGTTGATCAGGTTGTGATGGCGTTTCCGGGAAGTGGGATGCCTCTCTTCTTCGCGATGTTTTGGTGGTGAAGGCAGCATGTGGAACCGGGCTGAGGAATGTTGATCGCCAGCCGGTAAAGTGGCGCGAAGGCACTGGTGGGAAAGTTCCAGTGAACAAGTTGGCGTTTTGCTGCTCAGGTCTGTCAAGAGCGTCCAGGTAGAAAGCCGGTTTGCAAAGATGGGCGTGTTTCGGATGGTGGCAAACGAGCCGGTAAGCGCTGTCTGCCCAACTTGCAGAAGAGGGTGAACAGGCCAGTGCCTTTGGCCTTGGTAAAGCGTCACGCCTCTGCGTGGGCACCCCCATGCTGACATGAAAGGGTGGCTAAGGCTGGGTTGTTGTTGAATGAAAGCCTTTTCCGCGGCACGCGGCTGGGTTGTTGTTGAATGAAAGCCTGTTCCGCGGCACGCGCGTAGCGATGGGGTCGGACGAAGTGGATGGGTGTGATGGCAAACTCGAAGAGATTGTCGAGGCGCCCGCCATCGCACCGCCGTTTCAGCACTCACGAGCGTCTGGCGTTGGACTTGGAGCACCACCGCACCTGGGCTGACACAATCACCGAAGAAGAAGCCGGCCAAGCCAATTGGAAGCAAACGCTATCCTGTGGGGGTTTCGCAGCAAAACTCTTGGCAAAACACAACCGGCAATTGACTAGTCCGCCAAGCTCAATGCGGACAGATGTCAGCAGCTATCCTACGTGTTCTTCGACCTTTGATGCGAACCTCTTGCCGGCTGCTGACACTTCTACTACCAATTTGTTTGCACGACAACGTTCAAACTTTCGCTTGTGCCTTGTGGGTACAATGCCGACCAGTCAGTCAACTTACACTTCTTTGTCTCGCTGCGTGCCCAGCCAGTTTTGCAAATTTTTCAGCGAGCAGGAGTCGCACCCCATCATCTGACTTTTGCGCAGTGGAGAACACCTCACGTCGTCTACGTCAAATTCACCGACCACGCTTCCTTCCAGGACAAGATCTACATTGGCAGCGCACAGGGAGAAGTCAGCGAGCGCGAGCACAGCCGCTATCGATCAATCATGGACTGCAGTTGCTTGCGTTTTGTAGCTGGCATCTTAACTGCTTGGCTTGTGCTTCGTTGGTGGCACCGGTGTAATTGCGAGAGAACCCACTGGCAGCGTTGCGTGGGAGGCGTCAACAAGGTCTTGGGGCCCACTTTGGTGCTAACGTCGTGGACGGGTGGCGCGGGACGGTTGTCGAGGTCAGGTTCGCCAGCGTCAGTTTGGCGTTGCGGCTTTTGTCTGTGGTAGAGAGTTGTCAGGTCTTGTGGAGTTGTGTGATGGAGTGCCCGTGGTAGTCTTGGCTAAAAGATCACGCGCAGAGGGAGGCTGGTTGTCGGCGGTCGTGGCGGGCGAATCGCGTCGCTTTAGCTCAGCAATTTGGGTCTCAAGCTGCGCAATGCGCTGTTGCGCTTCTTTGTCGACTGGTAGGTTGGGTTGAAAGCCGACCATTGTTTGCACCAAGCGCTTGACGAGAGCCTTCGTGCAGCCAACTCGGTCGAGCGCTCCACCTTCTGCAGTCGCGGCGTTGGCGGCGATGCCATCCAGGTGAAGCTGCCGCGCTCGAATGGAGGAGCTGAGTTCTGCAAGAAGTACGGCTTCTGCCATGTCTCGGGCACAGACCAAGTAGACAGGTTGGCCGTGCGAGATTCATCGGAGCCAAAAAACTTTTGCAGCCGT